AGAAACATCGATGAAAGATGTTTCTCCTGCCTCCTGTACACCTCCTCCTGGGGACTGAGCCCACAACCCGGGCATGTGCCCTGACAGAATCCACTTGGTGACCTCCTGGTAGATGGGGTGACACTCAATCCATTGAATGACACTGGCTGGGCCATTGGTTGATTCTTGTATGTGCCTTGACCAGGGATCAAACCTGCAACCTTGGCATATTAGGAAGATGCTTTAACCAACTGAGCTACCCAGCCATGGCAAAGAGGGTGGATCATAAATGTTCTTACCACAAAGAGAAAATGATGACTATGAGGTAAGTGATGGAATGTTGATTAGCTTGATTATGGTGATCATTTCACAGTGTATACGTGTATCAAAACATCAAATTATACACCTTAAATATATACAATTCCTATTTGTCAATTATACCTCAGTGGAGCTGCTAAATTCATTAATTTAATTAGAAATGGAATCTATGTCCCCTCTCTTGAATCTGAACAGGCCCTGTAGCTGCTAACAGGCAGAAATGTGCAAAGTGACAATGGGCTAGTTTCTAAGCCCATAAGAAACCGGCTGCCCTAGCTGGTTTGGCTCAGTGGATAGAGTGTTGGCCTGTGAACTGAAGGGTCCTAGGTTCGATTCCGGTCAAGGGCACATGCCTGGGTTGCGGGCTCAATCCCCAGTAGGGGTTGTGCAAGAGGCAGCTAATCAATGATTCTCATCATTGATGTTTCTATTTCTCCCTCTCCCTTTCTCTCTGAAATCAATAAGATATATTAAAAAGAAAGAAAGAAAGAAAGAAAGAAAGAAAGAAAGAAAGAAAGAAAGAAAGAGAAAGAAAAAGAAAGAAAGAAAGAAAGAAAGAAAGAAAGAAAGAAAGAAAGAAAGAAAGAAAGAAAGAAAGAAAGAAAAAGAAAAAGAAAAAGAAACTGGTAGCTTCTTCCCATCTCCCAGAACCCAGCTGCCATGTTGTTTGGAAGCTAAAGCAGCCTGTGGAGAAGCCAGCCCACAGGGAGAGGAGCCGGTTATCATCCATGTGACAGCCGCCTCGGGGAGTGGATCCCCAGCTCCTATCCAGCCCCGCAGCTGAGGCCTTGCAGATACACTAAGGTTGTGGGTTTGATCCTGGGTCAGGGCACATACAAGAAACAACCAATGAATGCATAAATAAGTATAACAACACATCTCTCTTTCACTCTCTCTCTAAAATAAAAATGTTAAAGGCATTAAAATAAAGTAATTAAAATAAATAATAAACAAGTAATTGCTTCTCGGTCTTTTGGCTAAGATTAAGTGTAGTACCTGTTCTTATCAGTTTAATATCTGATACGTTCTCTATCTGAGGACAATCTATTAAATGAGAAAAAAAAATGAACAAGTTTGTGATTTGGAAACTGGTAAATATCGAATTAAAAAGCCAAGAGAGGGAAAGATGACTGCCTCTGAGATGGGAAAATGCAGGTAGAGGGGGCTGCTGTTTTTGTTTTGTTGTAACAAACATGGATGATCTAGTTCAGGGGTCCTCAAACTACGGCCCGTGGGCCACATGCAAATACAAATATTGTATTTGTTCCCGTTTTGTTTTTTTACTTCAAAATAAGATATGTGCAGTGTGCATAGGAATTTGTTTATAGTTTTTTTTTAAACTATAGTCCGGCCCTCCAACGGTCTGAGGGACAGTGAACTGGCCCCCTGTTTAAAAAGTTTGAGGACCTCTGATCTAGTTTATACTTTACACACATGTATAACTCGGATAAAAAAAAAACTTAAAAATTTATTTCCTTAGCGAGAATGGATCTACAATGGGTTTGAAAGGCTTCCTGTACATTCAGCAACGGGTACATCAAACTCCATTATTCCAGTAAATAAGATAAAGTTTTTGCCTACAAGCGGCCTGATAGTCCCACTCAGTTAAAATGCTGCCTAAGGTTTTTAGCTTAAACACTCAGGTGGTAGTCTTGGCCCTGAGGAGTCCTGGTTGCCTCGGTGGAGCCCCAGGGACTGTGTCTATTGTGTCTGAGCCAAGACCAGGGAGTGCAGGGTGCAGGGCTAGCTCCTGGGCAGCTGCCAGCCTGGAGGCAGCAGCCTGGCCGGGAAGGGCAGGACTGCAGACGAGGCTCCTGGCCCCGCTGGGAGCTGTGCCACATGCCCTGCCAGGCAAGCACCACTGAGGCCACCTTCCAGGATCAGGTCCCAGATTTCAGGGGGACTAGAGGTGGAGGGGTGCTGAAGCAAACTGAAGATTGGAGCGCTGGCAAGTGGGAAGAGGAGGGCTGATGCCTTTGATGACCACAAACGAGTCTGGAGATGGGAGAGGGTGTATTTGACACTTGGAATGAAGAGTTTAAATTTGCACATAACTGAGTTAGGTTATGAATTTAAAACCTTTTACAATATAATTTCTCTGAGCCTTCTCTGTATGGGTTTTATGATGGGGGATATATATATATATATGACATAGAGACTGGGGAGGGGAAAACTTTACCCTAAGGTTCTTCCAGCTGGTCTAATCATCAAATAGACATGAGACAGATTAGCAAGAGAATCCGACCGAACTTCATACATACATACGTATGGGAACCCCACATCCGTGAGAGTCAGAGGCCCCACACGCACCAGAGGTTCAGACAGACGGGGAACTTGACATTCTGGCCGAGGGATGAGGTAAGGCAGCTCGGGGGCTTCCCTGGGTTGCTGCAGGATTAGAAGAGCAGATCTTAGTAAATAGAAGCATGCCCTGCCTTATAGGTGGGTCAAAAAGAGATTATAGCTGATCATCTCTCTTAATTCAAGTGCTTCTAGGCAAAGGGAGGGGCAGAAATTTCTCTTGAGCCTGAAGCTAACATTGCCCTTAGAGCCTGGAGCTAAAATTGCCCTCAGAACAGTCCGCCTGCCACAGAAGCACAGTTGGTGTGACTAGCTCAGGGGTTCTGTCACAGCGATGTCATTTTGGGACTGTGGTTTTCTCTTTAACTTCTAGGTTCTGGCTGGTCTAATAGTCAAATTCACATGAGACAGGTTAGCAGCAGAAAACAAATTAACATTTAATAACATGTATTCCTCTTACAGACGTGGGAGAGACCCAGAGCAACTGAGGAACTCTCCAAAATAGTGGAAGCCACACCTTACATCCATCTTCAGCTAAAGACAAAAAAAGATGTTGGGTGTGGGGAGTGAGAAAAAGAAGATTATGTGCTCTCTTGAGGGTTAATACCCCTTCGAGGGATATCACTTCTGATATTTCAAAGGTGATGGCGAACCTATGACACACGTGTCAGAGGTGACACACGAACTCATTTTTTTTGTTGATTTTTCTTTGTTAAATGGCATTTAAATATATAAAATAAATATCAAAAATATAAGTCTTTGTTTTACTATGGTTGCAAATATCAAAAAATTTCTATATGTGACATGGCACCAGAGTTAAGTTAGGGTTTTTCAAAACGCTGACACGCCGAACTCAAAAGGTTCACCACCACTGTCCTAGATGCAAAGAGCAAAGGACAGGGCTGGCTTCAAACCTTTCACTGAAGAAGTGATAGGCCTGGGACGTGACTACCCAGCATGACCTGCCCAGTTGGCGTTTATGGTCAGATCTCCCTGTGAGGTTACTTTCCACAGACCCCCATTTTCATCCACAGTATGGACACCACCTTTCGTTTATTCATTCATCTGTTGACAGACATGTGAATTGTTTGTACCTGTTGGAGAAGGGATAATTCTCCCCCTTCTACTCTTTAGTTTTTAATTCTGAACTAGTAATAAATAATAAAAATTGACACAAGACTAAATTAATAGGATGTTAACAAAAATTCCAAGGTGAATTAAAAGAGTGTTTTATTCAGATATGATTTGCAAATCAGGGACATAGCCCTTGGTGTGAACCAGAGACATATTCCAATGTGGAGGGGATAAAGCATGGTTTCCAAAGGCAAAGTGCAGGGGCTGCTGATCAAAGAGGCGAGTGGCTGTGGGGAAGACCACAAACTTCCATCACTGGTTCTCTGAGAGGTGAGGGCAACTGCAAAATTCAAGGATCTGCAGACTCGGGGATCCAAAAGTAGGGCTGTGATGCAAGAACAATGGGTAACATGATGAGGCATTTGTCAGGTCCTAGTTCTGGTTCAGGCCGTAGAGCACAAGTTCTGGGTTATCTATATAATAAAAGCCTAAGTGACCGTTACAGCGGAATGACCAGAACAACCGGTCACTATGATGCGCACTGACTACCAGGGGGCAGACGCTCAACGCAGGAGCTGCCCCTTGGTGGTCAGTGCACTCTCACAGGAGGAGCACCGCTCAGCCAGAAGCCAGGCTCATGGCTGGCGAGCGCAGCAGTGGTGGTGGGAGCCTCTCCCGCCTCTGCGGCAGCGCTAAGGAGCAGCAAGCAGGTGGGCAGTAAGGAGAGAGGGGTCCCGGACTGCGAGAAGGTGCAGGCCGGGCTGAGGGACCCTTCCCCCTCCCCCCTCCCCCTAGTATATGAATTTCATGCACTGGGCCTCTAATTTATTTATCAGCAGAAATCAGCGCAGAGAGAGCATTCGGTTGCAGGTGGCAGGAATGGCACCAGGTGTTTGAATGGTGGGGTCAGACTGGACCTGGGTTCAGCAACCTCGGTACTTGAGTTCTAGCTAGGAAAGAATTCAGAGCCAAGACTCAAACTATAAGAGAACATTTCTTTATAAAATTACAGAGGTAGAAGAAGTAATACGTAGAAGAGATGGGCTGAGGAAATGAGTTGTGGAGGCAAAAGAAGGGCCCTAGGAGCTTGGGAGTGAGGAAGGTAATGGTAATGTGCCTGAGGGTGGGGGTGGAGAGTAGGATAAGGAGAGGCACTGGGAGAAAGCACTGGGCCAGCCGTGGGCAAACTACGGCCCGTTTGAAATGAATAAAACTAAAAAAAAAAAAAAAGACCGCACCCTTTTATGTAATGATGTTTACTTTGAATTTATATTAGTTCACACAAACACTCCATCCATGCTTTTGTTCCGGCCCTCCGGTCCAGTTTAAGAACCCATTGTGGCCCTCGAGTCAAAAAGTTTGCCCACCCCTGCACTGGGTCCTCCATCCTAAAGGTTTTAAGATTTTAGAGGAGGTCCCAGAGGAAGATCTTAATAGAATATTCGGCAGTTTTCTAGGCGTGTCCTTTGGGGTTGTGGTCTCCACGGATTGGCCAGCACCAGGGCAGGGGGTCATTATTCAATGCAGCTGATCCTGAGGTCGGCCATGGGGTTCCTGGTCTGGTTTTGTTGCTTTTTTGGACCCATAGCTGAAACACAACTGAGGTGTAAATGTTATCTCTAGGGAGAAAAGGTCAAGAGGTTGAAACCACCTGACCATGGATACACTAGGGGACGAGAGGCCACGCTGGTGGCGAGGTCACACCCTACAGTTCTCCGCTGCTGGGCACCTGTAGCTTTCTGCCCTGGTGACCTTCTGTACCTGGCCCATCACCCTGGCTCTGCTCATGTCTGTCTGTCACAGTTCTGTGGGCCAATTCCAGGCCTGGGAGCAGAGCCTTGCTCTTTAAACAGCCTCGGGGGTCACCCTGCAAAAACCCAAATGAGGATGTTTAGGCTCGGATAAGTCCTCAAGGAGAAAAACCAGTTTAAAACATGCGCGCAGGACAACCACAGTGTGATGCTCAGGTCAGAAAATGAGGCTCAAGGAATGTTCAAACCAGGCACCTTTTTATGTTTTTTGTACAAACACATATGTGAGAAACTGACAAGACAGAGAAAGTCACTGCTCATTAAAAGGAATGTAAGCAGGGCTTGGGCTGGGGCGGGACAGGCTTGTTGACACAGCTCTCATTCCGGATTCCCAGCTGTGATAAGGTTGTGTCTCTACCCTTGGGATGTTCCCTCCTGCTTTCAGGGACACAGAGGAGAGTCAGGCCCCATCCTGCTCCTGCTGCCTCCCAGGTGACTGCAGTTGGAAATAATCACTAGGTCACTGTGGAATATTGCGGGGTGGCCTGTCCTGGGCCCCGACACGCCTATGGCTGTTATGGATAGTGCTGTTATGAATATGGGGGTGCGATTATGTCTTGAAGAGCCTGCTTTCAGTTCTTTAGGGTTCACACCCAGAGGTAGGATTGTTGGGTGGGAGGAAAACTTCTGAACGCTCCTGATCAGAGGAGAGCAGACTCATGCCTGTGCTCCAAACCCATCCAAGGGAGCAGACAACATCATGCCAGGGCACAGGGCCCCACCCCGCCTGCCCTCTGAAGGCACCTGTTACCGGACTGGGTACCTGGCCCAAGCGGGTCTGCCTAGGGCCATGGGTAGTGTGTGGGTTCTTGAATTCGTGCAAGAAAACTTTCACAACACAAGTCCAGGTGAATTTTAGAGGACGTTTATTAAAGCTGGGGACAATGAAACAAGGAAAGGTTGGGGACATGAGCCTGGGCTGGGCTGCTTTGGCTCCCTAAGAAGTCAGAGAAAAGGGGGCCTTGGAGATTTTTCTGGGACGAACTGCCACTGCCCACTGGTTGTAAGCCTTCCGGGGTCCCTAAGAGTTTAGGAGCTGCATGCCTGTGGAGAAAGAGGCGGGGAGGCCACGTGTGCTCCTAGCCAGGCGGGACCTTTGTTTTGAGGGGATTGTAAAGGCTTTGCCTTTAGGAGAGGGCTTAGGGGAGGACCTGAATAGAATATTCGAGAGCTTTAAGTCAATGGGTCAAAATGAGATTGATCCCCTTCACCCAGATGATCCCAGGGTGTGGTTGGCAAATGGCACTAATTGGATTTCTGCTATCTGTCTCCCAGAGCAGGATGATTTAAGCTATTTACCCTCTGGCTGGGGAGGAGAAGTGCAAACTCCTAAGTGTCCCTGGTTTAGGGAAGATAGGATTTACTAGATGGCTACAACTGCTGCTTAACACTCTGTCTCCCTTTGCCTATTCCCTTTTACCTGGCTTACAGGCCTGTCTCTCTCACACACACTGCAAGGCTGGCCCAGCCCAGGGTATTTGGGCACACAGACCAGGTCCCCACTCTGTTGTCACCACCACCCCACCCTTTTCCACCAAACAAGACTCCGAGCCCCAGCTCCGGGACACACCCAGTAGTCCAGTGCCTGTGTTGTGGACCAGCGTTCGCGAGAGTAAGACCACTGACTCCAATTAGGTCTAAAACAGCAAGCGAGGATTTATTGAACTGGCCAGTGACTGCCTCGGACTTCTCCACGCAGGGAGCATGCCCAAACAGCAGCCCCAGCCTTGGGGTCAAGCAAGCTTTTATTTGCACAAACCATAAATATCCTCCATAACTGTTACAATGCTCTACAAACCACAAACATCCTTTTACAATACTCTATTCAGGGTTCTCACGCACAGGTGTGCTGACCAGGAACTTCTAGGGCCATGCATGGCCACCCATCCTTAGCCATATCCTTGGTCTTGTCAAATTCTCAGAACTCCGAACAGGTCACCTCAACCTTTGCTAAGTCTAAAATTTCCCACTGCTACTTTAAGTTTGCTTTAAGCCTAGTGCACTATACCTGTCCACCTGCCCAGGCCAAGCCTGGTGAAAAGCCACCTGGATGGCAGGATGACATCAGGAAGCCAAACCAGGCCGCTTGCAGGCCCTGTCCTTGCACCCCACCTCCCTCAGCACTCAGAACCGAGCCTGGGCCCAACTGGCTCAAGGAAATACTGAACAGATGAGGTAGATAAAGGAGTGACAGGTGCCCAGGACTTCAGGAGCAGAGGGTAGGGGGAGCCCAATAAGGACCCTGTGAATCGTCCTCACCCTGAGGGCACCTGCCTCTTAGGCCCACCCTACCCTGGGGGGATACCAGGGCTTCTCCTTGCTAAGGGCTCCGCCTTTTTCAGGACCCCTGCCCCAAGGCTGTCACACCCAACCAACAGGAGGGGCTGTCTCAGGGTGGCTGCCTGGGGCCCTGGGAGGGACCCAAAGGTTTTTATAGCCAGGGATGAAGGCCTCACCAGATTAAGCCCAAAGATCTTACCTGCAGCTGGTGCCCTAGAGTCTCAGCCTCATCCAAGTTCCAGCCTCACCAGGTCCGGGCCCCTCTGCAGTTCCAGCTCCAATGCCGGCCCACCATCCCACAGGCATGCAGGGAGCCCACGTGCTGCTGCTGCTGCTGCTGCTGGGCCTCAGGATACAGCTCTCCCTCGGATTCATCCCAGGTAAGGGGCCCCTTCCAGCTAGCCCCACACATGGGGTGCTCCCCCAAGGCTGACCTGACCTCCCTCTCCCCTTGGCCAGCTGAGGAGAAAGACCCAGCCTTCTGGAACCACCAGGCAGCCCAGGCTCTGGACACCGCCAAGAAGCTGCAGCCCATCCAAACAGCTGCCAAGAACCTCATTCTCTTCCTGGGGGATGGTGAGTGGTCATGGCATGTTCATTCCCACAGCCCCACAGTCCTGGTACCCAGGGCTACCTATGGGCACAGCCATGCCTGCAGACTCAGACCTGACTGGGTTCCACTCCTTCAGGGATGGGGGTGTCCACGGTGACAGCAACTCGGATCCTAAAGGGGCAGATGAATGGCAAGCTGGGACCTGAGACCCCCCTGGCCATGGACAAATTCCCATTCGTGGCTCTGGCCAAGGTAAGGGCTGGGTGGCCTCAGGGTGCTCCACACCACAGGGGTAGGGTGGGCCTAGGGAGCCTGGTAGGAGGGAAGGCCCCAGGAGGGTTGGGGTCTGAGTTAGGGGCCCAGGGCCTGGTCATGATCTGGGTGTCTGCCCAGAGAGGAGCTGATGATGTCTCTGTTCCCAGACATACAACGTGGACAGACAAGTGCCAGACAGTGCAGGCACAGCCACAGCCTACCTGTGTGGTGTCAAGACCAACTTCCTGATCATTGGTGTGAGTGCAGCAGCCAGGTACAACCAGTGCAACACAACACATGGCAACGAGGTCATCTCCGTGATGAACCGGGCCAAGAAAGCAGGTGGGCTGGGGGCCAGCCTAGTGGGCAGGGGTCGGGCCCAGAGGGCATGGTGGCTCACCCTGACCTGACTTCCATCACCCTCAGGGAAGTCAGTGGGGGTGGTGACCTCAACGAGGGTGCAGCATGCCTCGCCAGCTGGCACCTACGCGCACACGGTGAACCGCAACTGGTACTCGGATGCAGACATGCCTGCCCAGGCGCTGAAGGACGGCTGTCGGGACATTGCCACGCAGCTCATCACCAACATGGACATTGATGTGGGTCATGAGGGCAATGGGGACCTGAGCAGAGGGGGTGGGCCCCATGCTGGCCACAGTCCCAGGCAACCCACAGCCTGAGCCCCGGGGCCTGGGGCCTGGCAGTGTCTCTGGGCACTTGGGATGGTGGTGTAGAAGGTACAGGCAAGCCAGGCCTTGCCACAGACCTGGTGGGGGGGACCTAGAGATGGTTTGTTCAGGGGGCAAAGGGCCAGGCAGGCCCCAAGCTCACCTGCCCTACTCCTCTGGCTCCAGGTGATCCTGGGTGGAGGCCGCAAGTACATGTTTCCCAAGGGGACCCCAGACCCTGAGTACCCTGGTGATGCCTCAAAGAGCGGAGTCAGGTTGGACATGCGGAACCTGGTCCAGGAGTGGCAGGCCAAGCACGAGGTGATGGGGGCTCCTGGGGCAGGGGATAGAGCAGGGCCAAGGGCAGGGCTGCTGGTTGTAGAGCCGTGGGCTGAGGCCTGGTTCTGTCCCTCCCAGGGTGCCCGGTATGTGTGGAACCGAACAGCGCTCATTCAGGCGTCCCAGGACCCCTCCGTATCACACCTCATGGGTAATGACCCACCCCTCCCCCACCTTCCTGCCCTGTCCTCCGGGTCCCTGGACACTCATGTGTGCACAGACCCCACTCCACGGCTGTCAGTCACCCCCGCCCCCTTTCCCACAGGCCTCTTTGAGCCAGGGGACATGAACTATGAGGCCAACCGAGACACCCAGCAGGACCCAAGCCTGAAGGAGATGACAGAGGCCGCCTTGCGTCTGCTGCGCAGGAACCCCCGGGGCTTCTACCTGTTCGTGGAGGGTGAGTGAGTGGCACCCCCTCACTGAACAGAGGGAGATCAGGATTTAGGACAGGTTCCCCACCATCCACCCGTGGTCTTTCTGCAGGCGGCCGCATTGACCATGGTCATCATGAAAGCAGAGCTTACTACGCACTGACAGATGCTGTCGCTTTTGATGACGCCATTGACAAGGCCAGCCAGCTCACAAGCGAGAAGGACACCCTGACCCTTGTCACTGCTGACCACTCTCATGTCTTCACTTTTGGTGGCTACCCTCTGCGTGGCAGCTCCATTTTCGGTAGGTCTGGGGAGAGTGGCAGGTGCCTGCTCCTCGATTAGGAGGCAGAAAATGCTCTGAGCCTCCGTTTGCTCATCTCTTAAATGGAGTCATAATAGCCATAGCCTTGCAGGGTCTTGTGTGGATTAAGTCACTGAATAGGCAAGCAGTGCTGGGGCTTAGCACACAGGGGGCGCTGCAGAGCTGTGGTGGTGCCATCACAGGTCCTCTTCTCCCTGCAGGGCTGGCTCCTGAGAAGGCAAAAGATGGCAAGGCCTACACCTCCATCCTTTATGGCAATGGCCCCGGCTTCGCAGTCAGCGGGGGCTCCCGGTCAGATGTCCGTGACAGCCAGAGCAGTGAGTGCGCCGGTGGGTGGGCGGGCAGGGGGAACTCGCCGGAGGGTGCCCACCATACCTGATTCCCCATTGTCTGTTCAGGGGACCCCAACTACAGGCAGCAGGCGGCCGTGCCCCTGTCGTCGGAGACCCACGCTGGTGAGGACGTGGCGGTGTTCGCGCGTGGCCCGCAGGCGCACCTGATGCACGGTGTGCAGGAGCAGAGCGTGGTGGCGCACGTCATGGCCTTCGCCGCCTGCCTGGAGCCCTACGCCGCCTGCGGCCTGGCCCCGCCTGCCGAGCACGCGGAGCCCTCAGCAGGCCCCTCGGCTGGCCCTTCACTGGTTTTGCTGACTGGGGCGCTGCTGCTGCTGCTGCTGGGGACCATTAAGCCCTGACTGCCCCACCCCTCACCCGAGGGCCCACCTCCCCCAGGGGCCCTGCACCAATTCTGGGCCACTTACTGCCAATAACTGGGGCCCCGCACTGCCCCCAAGCTTCCCAGGGCCTGACCTTTACCCCGCGGTGCACACTGCCGCCACTCGGCCACCTTGGGACTGGGCACCCTGGAGCTGAGGTGGTGGCTTCCTGCAGCTCCCCAGGTTCTCCCAGCTGCTCAGGACTCCCAGCCCCCAACCTTGACTGCCGAGGAAGTTTTGTAGCACCATGGGGAGCTGAGGACTCTGGCACATGGGGGGCTCAGGGGGGTGTCCTGGAGAGGGACAGCTTCCTGTCACCCTACAACCTGTCCTAATGGATACCTCCTGGCCCATAGGCCGCTGTGGCCAGTACACCTGGTGCCTTTGACATAAAGCCCTGGGCTTCATCATCTAGGGGCCCAGTGGTACCATTTCACAGAGGAGATGGGGACACAGAGAAGAGAGGAGGCTTGTCCCCGTCACTAGGCTGCTGAGGTGGTCACCTCCCAATGCCCATCCAGGCTGAGAGCTCCAAGGAACATCGCGGAAGCTGCTGGTGCAGGGGGCAGCCCCAGAGCAGCCCTTGCCCCCACCCTGAGGCCATGTGGGCACTAGGCATATATTTATAAACAGGGGATTCCCTGCATCCAGGGGCCTCTATTCTGGGAGGGACACATATAAAACTAAAATAAACTGCTTTACAATGTAATGCCAGTTCTGATATGTTCTTGAAAGAAAAATCATTAGTATTTGGGGATACAGCATGTGTGAGTCAGAGGAGGGGAAGGTAACTCGGAGGAGGTCAGGGAGCAGGAAGGAGCTCCCTGAGGAGCAGACAGGTGCCCAAGATTGGAGGCAAGAGGGCTTCTGCAATGCTAGCCTGGGTCCTGAGGCAGCAAGTGACTTTGAAGCCAAGAGCTGGGTCAAAGATGGGGGGAAATGAGGGATAAGGAGAAATGGGGAAAGAGCTCGAACTTCATCCAGAGTGTGGCTTTGAGCAGGGATATAACATGATTTTTGAAAATATCAACCTGGGCATATGTGGGGAGGGACCAAGATGGTGGCATAGGTAAATATGGTACTTGCTTCTTCCCACAACCACATCAAAATACAACTAAGCCCTAGCCGGTTTGGCTCAGTGGATAGAGCATCAGCCTGCAGACCAAAGGGTTCCGGGTTCGATTCTGGTCAAGGGCACATACCTCGGTTGCAGGCTCCTCTCCGGCCTGGGCTCATGCAGAAGGCAACCAATCGTGTTTCTCTCACATAGATATTTCTGCCTTTCGCTCTCTAAAAATCAATGGGAAATATCCTCGGGTGAGGATTAAAAAAATACAACTAAAGTAACAGAACAACCATCATTCAGAAATGCCTGAAATCTGACTGAATAAAGTCATGCAACTAGGGAATTAAAGAAGAAAACATATGGAGACAGGAAGGAGGGGCAGAAGCGCAGAATGGGCTAGTCTGAGACCCTCATGTGGCGTTTTTTGTTTTTGTTTTATTTTTTAATTCAGAGGGATATCTTGGCTGTGGAGGCCTCCTATGAGGAGCATGGGGTCCCATCCCCATGGCAGACCCTCAGCCCAGGCTTCCAGTACGGGAAAGAGAAGTCCCCATAACTTGGGGCTTTAAGAACCAGCAGGGATTGTGGCTGAGGGACACAAAGGCTTCTGGAGACCAGACAGTTTCTCTTAAAGGGCCAGCACACAGACTTACTCAGACTCAGTCCCTCTGAGCTCCGGCGCTGGCTGGGGCAGCAGCTTGAAAGGATCCAGCGACATACAGGGAGGAACTAAATTGTCTGGCTTCAAGGCAAGGACTAGGGCAGTAATGGCGAACCTTTTGAGCTCGGCATGTCAGCATTTTGAAAAACCCTAACTTAACTCTGGTGCCGTGTCACATACAGAAATTTTTTGATATTTGCAACCATAGTAAAACAAAGACTTATATTTTTGATATTTATTTTATATATTTAAATGCCATTTAACAAAGAAAAATCAACCAAAAAAATGAGTTCACGTGTCACCTCTGACACGCGTGTCATAGGTTCGCCATCACTGAACTAGGGGGCAGCTTTCTCCCAGACAAAAGTGCTCACAGAGGTCATTGTTCCTATGCTGAAACCTCTCCCTGACATAGAGCTGACTGGCAGGTGCCATATCTGAGCCTCCATCAACCTGGCTCACCCTTTGCCCTGCCTTGGTGATTCCCTGAGATTCCACCTTACCCACTTTGCAGCATCACTCAAGCCATTTGCAGCAGCTTTTCTATTTGAATTGCCTGTCCTGGCTCAGGCTTCAGACTTTCCTAAAATCTCTCAACAAGTAGCAGCTGGACTCAGCACGTCCCATACCTCTTGATAAGTGGCCGGGGCCTGACATTAGCAGTAGCCTGTGTTGGGTCACAGTTTGGCCTCTCCTGGGCACCTGGAGCCATCTGCAGATCACTCGGTTGCTTGTGTGGGTAGTCCCAGGCAGGGCACAGGCAGTGATTGACTTTGCACCTCCCAGGAGGCCCCAGAGTCAGTGCAACTGGTGGACAGCTTCAGATCATGCCAGATTACAACTCTACACATCCACGAGTGACACACTCAAGGGGCAGACTTGAGCACCAAAGCCCCACTAAAGCAAGTCCTATTCCACAGGGGTGTCTTCTGCACAACAGCTCCTCCGCTATTGGTCCTCAAAGCCAATTGGCCTGGAGTCAATTCCTCCCAGTTATGCCAACAGCAATCAAGGTTCAACTACAACAAGACAGTGCACACAGCCCACCCAGGTGTGCACCTATGTCCAGCTCAGGTGACTGGGGAGGCTGAGCCACTGGGCCCTACAGGACACCTACTACACAAGACCACTCTACCAATTCCAGGAGACATAGCAGCTCTACCTAATACATAGAAGCAAACACAGGGAAGCAGCCAAAATGCGGAGCCAAAGAAAAATGTCACAGATGAAAGACCAGAAAAAATCTGGAGAAAAAGACCTAAATGAAATGAAAGCAAGCAAACTACTGGATACAGAGTTCAAAACAATGGTTATAATGAGAGCTTCAAGGGACTTAGTGAGACTTTTAAGGATCTTAGTGAGAATTTCAAAGACTTGAAAAAGGTCCAGTCAGAAATGAAGGACACACTAATTGAAATGAAAAATAATTTACAGGAAATCAACAGTAGAGTAGAGTATGCTGAAAATCAAATCAATGATTTGAATATGAGGAAGCAAAAACACACAGTAAAAAGAGCAAAAAGAAAAAAGAATCCGAAAATATGAAAATAGTGTAAGGAGCTTCTGGGACAACTTCAAGCATACTAACATTCATGTTGGGGGGGGGGGGTGCCAGAAGGAGAAGAGAGAGAGCAAGATATTGAAAACCTATTTGAAGAAATAAAGACAGGAAACTTCCCCTACCTGGCGAAAGAAATAGATTTACTAGTCTAGGTAGCACAGAGAGTCTCAAACAAGAGGAACCCAAAGATGCCCACACCAAGACACATCATAATTAAAATGCCAAAGGTTAAAGACAAAGAGAGAATCTTAAAAGCAGCAAGATAAAAGCAGTTAGTTACCTACAAGGGAGTGCCCATATGACTGTCAGCTGATTGCTCAGCAGAAACTTTGCAGGCCAGAAGGGCATGGCAAGAAATATTCAAAGTTATGAAAAGCAAGGACCTACAACCAAGATTACTCTACCCAGCAAAGCTATAATTTAGAATGGAAGGTCAGATTAAGAGCTTCCCGGGCAAGGACAAGCTAAAGGAGTTCATTACCGCCAAACCAGTATTACATGAATATTAAAGGGTTTTCAAGAAGAAGAAGAAGGAGAAGGAGAAGAAGAAGAAGAAGAAGAAGAAGAAGAAGAAGAAGAAGAAGAAGAAGAAGAAGGAGGAGGAGGAGGAGGAGGAGGAGGAGGAGGAGGAGGAGAAATAAAAAATGAAAATATAAACAATAAATAGCAATAAAAATGCAAATCTATCAACAGTTGAATCTAAAAATCAAAATAAATGAACAAGGAATCTAACAAACAAAATAAACTGATGAATAAAATAGAACCAGAGGCATGGAAATATGAGACAGACTGACAAATCTCAGAGGGAAGGTATGAGAAGGGGTGGGAAGAGATTAACCAAAGAACTTATAGGCATATATAGATAACGCATGGAAACAGACAATAGGGTGGTGAAGGTATGGGTTGGGGTGGGAACTGGGTGAGGGGGGTCAATGGGGTAAGGGGGACATCTTTGATCTGTAATACTCTCAACAATAAAGATTATATATATGTATATGGAATCCTGGCTCCTGTGGGGAGAAGACTATATTCTGTTTTGTTGGAGGGAGTGGGGCAGAAGCAGGAGATGGGAAACCCCAGGAGAGATGTGGACACAAACCTGTCTGACCTCCATCCCAGGGCCAACATTCTGGGGTACCCACTCCAGTAGAGCTACACTTACGAGTACCTAACCCACCCAAAGGGAACATTTAAAAGAATCCCAGAAAGGTGAAATCAACCATATTTTTCAATGCATTTGAACAGAATTACTGATTTATTTGTCCATTGACAAAGGTGCAGAAAACCACTAGGCTCTCACTGGAAATACTAAGATGGTAGAGCATGCGTCCTCATTTACTAACATCTTGATTAACACTAACATCACCTTGAAGGCCTGGGTCTCAGGGCAGTTTAGTCCAATCCTGGATTTCAGTGGCTGTCTCAGAATGGGAGCATAATGGAAGAAGAACATCATTAGCTGGGCTCACTGAAGCACCTCACTCACTGGGAACTCCATCCATGGGTTGTGCAAAGGGTTGTGTTAGAATCCAACTACTATTTGTCTTCCCTTGATCTTACCCACCAGTGGGAAGGTGCCACTTGTTTGTTTCATAAATGGACTCAAAATCCAAGGTAACCCACCCTAAACGGTTTGGCTGAGTGGATAGAGCCTCAGCGAGTCCCGGGTTTGATTTCGGTCAAGGGCAAATGCCCGGATTGGGGGCTTGATCCCCAGTCCAGGAGGCAGCCAATCAATGATTCTTCTATCTCTTCATTGATGTTTCTATCATTGATGTTTCTATCTCTCCCTCTTCCTTCCACTCAGAAATCAATAAAAATATATTTTTAAAAAACCAACAAGGTAGGCCTACATTTTAAAACTCTAAGGTTTCAGAAATATATTATTCTAGAATTAGTGTTGATGGCCACACAACTTCAAACATTCTAAAGAACATTGAACTGTGCACTTTAAAAGTGTGAATTTAATAGTATTTATTTTTTTAGAGAAAGGAAAGGAGAGAGAGAGAGAGAGAGAGAAAGAGAGAGAGATGTCAGTTTGTTGTCCCACTTATTTATGCATTCATTGAATGATTCTTGTATGTGCCCTGACAGATCAAGCCTGCAACCTTGGTATATTGGGACAATGCTCTAACTGAACTACCTGACTAGGGCTATCTAAATTTTATAACAGTTTCTGCTCCCAAGTTTTTTCAATGTGTAGGTATGAGGGGGTTTATTGTCAAACACATTGTTGGCCACAAAGTCAGGTGTCCCTGGAAACATTCCTAACATCTGTTTGATTGTCTTTACCTTGAAGGGGTAGACACATGGAAGTGTGTTTTTTTAAGGTTTTTATTGGGGGCCTCAGACTGAAAGCTCTTGTCACTCAAGACATGCCAGCAGCTTGGTCTTAAATTAGGAGGGAAGTTAGAAAGAGAA